AACAAAGAGGGACTTGAAAAGCAGTTTCATTCCAAATTGATTCAAACTTCTGGTTCTAACTGCAAAAAAATAAAGTTTCATCATGATTTGAAGAAAAGTCTTAAGCTCTAAGATAAGGCTATGATTAAGTTAAATAGCGATAAGGAACTGTCTGAATTTGTAAATAAAAAGACACCACATTGTATTGAGATGCCCACTGCTTTTTATATGTAGCTTTTCAAAAACAATAGTTTTTTTTTTTTTCAAACTATTGGCAAGCTTGCAGCAAACGTTAACTGCTGCATATTACTTTGGTTAAATATCTTAATCAGACAACATCTTTTGTGAAATGTTTATTTTAAAGTTTTAAGTGAAAAACAATTACCCTTTTACTTGCTGAAACTTGGATCTTTGGATAATGAGGAAATACCCACTCATTTACTTTCCCCATGGCAGTGGCTATCAACCAAAGTTGTGCATTACAGTCATCATGAAACTTTTAAAAATCCAGTGCCTCCACCTCACCTCCAGAGATTCAAAGCCTTGGAGTAAAGACTCCGCATCAGTGTTTTTTAATCCCCCAGGTGATTACAATGTACAGTCATGACTGGGGCCCACTGCCTTAAGAGGAAATAAACTATTTCTCTAGCACTGAAATTATAAATCTACACATAAACTATCAGAAATAATTAAAGGCACAGGAATCAATAAGGCATAGGAACTTACATTATAAAATGATTTCTTTAAATCATGGCTCGTTATTTATGCATCATTAAATAATTACAGCGAAGGGTGGAAAAATAGCAAATTTACTTTCAGTTAAAAAAAAAATCAATCCGAAATGAAGATGACTTCTTGGAAACATTATCAATAGCATTTGATCTACAAATTAAACACTTGATATACCAATATATTTGTTACTGATAATATAATATGTATTTTTATATTAATAAATTATAAATGAAAGCTGATGAAATAATTATTTGAGTCTACATATTTTATGTAGGCTAGAAATTAAGAGATAAAATATTAAGGTTTTGGATTAGATATGAAAATGATACTGTATTTCATTATTAATAATCAACATATTGTGCACTTTAATGTCACACACATATAACTTGTATATACTCAATTATTTTTGATTATATATTTATATGATTATTATATAGAAATATATAGCTGACTACATGTATACATATTTAGGTATTCATTCATTCATAGGGATTCACCCCAAGGCCATTATCGTTAAATCATATATATCCCTTAATCTTCAAAAGAGCCCTTGGAGGTAGATATTACTTTTACCTATATTTTACAAATGAGGAAACTGTCCATGGTCACAAAGCTAGTAAGTCAGACATAACAGAAGCTTACTACATATTTGGTAAAGATATGCTAGAGAAATTCAATACTTAATGGTAGATATAAACATGGATGTGTATAACAGCTCATCTACACACTGAGTATAAGCCTTTATCTTTTTTTTTTTTTAATTTTTAAGTAATCTGTACACCCAATGTGGTGCTCAAACACATGAACTCATGACCTGAAGATTAAGAGTAGCATGCTCTACTGACTGAGCCAGCCAGGCATTCCCCCCCACCATTTTTGTTTGTTTGTTTTTTAGTATAAAACCTTATCTTGTCTTAGAAACTTCTCTGCCAAAAGTCCTGTGACAGCTGGGCAAGAATTCAGGTATCCTTTCATTTGTCATATAGGTAGAGTAGTACCTTACTTCTTAAACAAGGGTGAATATTAAAATACAGATTCCATGGTCCAACCCCAAACTTTCTGAATTAGCATCCCTGCTGTTGAGACCTAGAATCTGTCCATCTTTTAAAAAGCTTCTTAAATAATTCATATGAATTAATTCATAAGAATTGCAAGTATGGAAACCACTGGATCTCATTGCTTATGGTTGAGATTTAATATTTAGGTCTTACTGGTACTCCGTAGAAAAGGCAAAGAGACTGCATGGACAAAATGAATATATTCCAGGTAGTTTCCTTTCTCAGAGGCTAAGAGGTAGTCATACAGCAGAAAATGATGATGTAGGTTTTGGGCTCTGACATCAGACAAAACTGTGCTGAGTCCCAGCTGTGCCACCGACTAGGTTTGTCACATTGGGCAAGTCCCTTGATGCTTTAAAAGCTATATGTCTTTTCTATAAAATGGGGATAAGGAATTCCTTGTTTCATAAGGGTTTGTGGGGATTAAAAATGTGTTTCCCCCTGCATGACACAATGTTTGACCCTTAAGAAGCATACTATATAGCTTACCATTATTGAAATATCAGAAAGTAGTAGAGATCAGAAAGAGGATAGAGTTCTGATTGGCAGTGTCTTATTTTCTCCAGGTTCATTTATTATCTTAAATTATTCTTGTTCTAGAATAATTTAATTTATTCATTTATTTATCTTAAATTATTCTTGTTCTAGAATAATTTAATTTATTCATTTATTTATCTTAAATTATTCTTGTTCTAGAATAATTTTTTCTCCCTTCCCCCAACTGCACCCCTATTAAAGCTCTGAGTAATCTCACAATTCTTAACAATGCCTTTTCCACGTAGAGGGAAAAAAATGTTTTTAAAAAGTTCTATGGAAAGAATTTCTGTGCTGTTTCTACTAAAAATATGACAACTTAACTCTATACCCTCTGAGTCGATTCTAGAATGTGTATACCACAAATAAGCTGTTTTAACTCAGGAATATTGAAAGCAAATATCCTGTACTCTTTTAAAATAAGAAATTTTGCAAAGGCATGACACAATTGGATTGTATAACTAGTATTCATATGATGCACAATGCAAAGTGCAATTTGTAGACCTAGTTTTAAATTCAGTTCTAATAAGTAAACTGATTTGACCCTGTTGGGGGAAAAGTTCAAGCACTCATCCAATCACTAATCCAATCTTCATTGTCATAAAATGTAATTCCTGTCTATTTCTGTGGTACTAATAATGAGGTTAAATAATGTATATATTTTTATTTACATGTTCAATGATACTATGCTCTGTTCAGTGAGTGATGTTCTTCTGCCACTTGGTGGTGCTTGCCAGTTTCAGAATTTGTTTCTTGGTGGCACTGTAACACTAAGTACAAAGCAAGCTGAACAAAATCACAGCATTCCTCTTGGAAAGGCTTTGCTTGAAACTGTTTAATAATTTAAAGAACCTCTGTGGAAGTAACTGCATTTGTTAACCAGTCACAACCAGTAATTAACTCCTTTGGAGTTTTAAGTTACTTTGGGCAAAATGTCTTAGGAAGAGTACATATTATTAGAAAGCATGACAAAAACTTACTTAGCAGAGAATTCAATAACAGTTCTACTCTGCTAAGAGGTTCTGTAAAATTCTACTTATATAGCCAAGTGTTGAAATCCTAGCAGGTCCTGTCTCATTATCATAATTACTGGTAAACACTTTTAAGGACTTTGCCTTTAGTTTTAAGCATGACTTATTTTCATAAGCCTGATTAGTTACCACACCAGCCTTGCTATGGAAAATGACATGTTCTCACTCTGAACTGGGAGTTCTTAAATCTAGATCTACATTAAGCGTATATTTATGTTGCCGCTTCTGCTGAAAGGGTGCAGCTAAAGACATCTCTGATTCCTTGTTTTTGCAATATCGGCTGGCAGCTCTATCTAACAGGCATTCCGTTTCCTTAAAGAATTTAGCTGCGCTGTCTAGAAGCCGATTTTCTGATGCCTCCAACGTCTGGTCTAATTGATCTGTTTTAATGGAGTCTTTGTCGGTGAGGAGCGAGATGCCACCGACTAGAATGCTGGGATCTGCTGCTTAATTGCCGGGAGCGAGAGACACTGAGGTTCAGAAATCTTTGGCCGTGGGCGAGGGTTGGGGGGTAATCTTGGGGCGGAGGCAGAGATGTAAGATAAAGGAATGGGTTTCACACAGGAAAAAAGATGAGATTTCTTTGAGGCTCTGAGGTGCTGCACGATCACATCTCTCAAAGGAGAAGTTAAAAAGCAAGGAAGTGGGAGGAGGTTAGAGGTTAAAGTACTTAAAAGGATAGCTCGGGCACAATTTGTTTTTCTGGCGGTGCCTGCGAAAGATAGATAGTCCCTGATTTCAAAGTGTACTGGTGCCTCTTTTAAGTGATTGGAGATGGACGCTAATTGCCTGTGAGGTGCTATCAAATATGCTTTTCTAAATTCGGGGGACCAGAAGGAAAGATGAGATTTAAAAAGAGAGAAACAGAGATGAGGGCTCTTGAAATAGAGAAAGAAAGAAAAGGAAAGAAAAAAAAGAAAAGAAAAGAAAATGGAAGGAAGGGTGTAAGAAAGCAAGGGAGGGAGGAAGGAAGGAAAAGAGAGGGGGAGAGAGGAAGGGAGGGAGTTAGGAAGAAAGAAGGAAGGAAGGAAGGAGAAGGAGGGTGGGAGAGAGGAAGGAAGGATAGAAGGAAGGAAGGGACGTAAGAGGGAAGGAGGGAGGAAGAGGAAAGAAAGGCAAGAAGGAGGGAAAGAGATGTAGAAGGAGGGTGCTGGGGGAAAAAAGGGAGAAAAAAAAATCTTGAATCACTGAGCAATCACACAGAAAAGAAAATTCTTCCTTGTAGGTCATCCAAAACACTGACCCGGGTCACTACAGAAAGATGCTCCTCTCCATCCGTGTCCCGGGAAGCTCTTGGACCAGTTACTAGCGCCTGAAATACCATTAGGCTAAAGAGTGTCTAACTGCGTGAAGAATGCAGCAGGCGGAAGGCGGGTCCCGCTACGCCTTTGCTCAGCGCCGGCAGGAGCGAAAGAACGAAGGGCACTGAGCGACACACTCCTGTGGAGTTAGACCTTCTCGCCTCCCCAGGCCACCGGAGATCCGGCAGAGAGATCCGCTAAAGCGCCCAGGGCCGCCACCCGCGCCGCCAAAGTGAGCCGCTCTTCTCGGAAGCCGCTTCCTGGAGGATGCGCCTGCTACCCACCCGTTGCTGATGCCGAGGAGCCCTCCCTGCCTCTCTCGGACCACTTGTGCAGACCAAATCTGACCTCCGAAACACATTTACCCGCACCTCCCAGGCAGCCACACTAATAGGTTCCTGGCTGGAGAGGAGCGTGTGATGAGGAGAAGGCTCCAAACCCTCGGCTCCTCAGGCAGGGTCGGAGCTGCAGGGGGCCAGGGAGGGGAGCAGAGAGCGAGAGAAGGAGGAAGGAAGAGAAGAGAGCCTGGAAGGCTCGCTGAGTCAGCTAGGCGAGCAGCCTCAGGGTCGCAGGTTCCTGTGGGAACCGGGGCTGCTTCCAGGCCGGCCAGAGCTCTTCTCACACCACCGCCTCTCACCCTCTCCCGGTCTCTGCACCTCCCTCAAGAAAGGTCCCTGGGCTCTGGCCGCGATATTCCCAGCTTGAATCCGGTTACAGGCGGCGTGTCCGGCACGCAGGAGCCCCGGGTTCCAGCAGGACACCGTCTCTGGGCCCGCTCTCCCCTCTCAGCCCTGCTGCTACCGCTTCTCCTCCACCTCCGCCCTCACCAGCTCCAGCTCGGAGAGACGCCACCCAGCCGCGGCGGGTACTCGAGGCCCGGGGTCACGCACTGAAGAGGGGAGCTAGATCGGGGGCCCTAGACCGGACCCAGGGCTCGGTAGGGGGCGTCCTGGGGCGGAGAGTGAAAGGACAGGTGGTATATAAAGGTGTGGGAGTCGCCCACTCCGAAGCCCGCGCTTCTCCCCTGAGCCATCTCCGCGCAGCCCCACTCGGGCCAGCGCCTCGCGAGCTAGCCCATCTGTGGCATCCGCCGTCGCCTCCTCCTTGCACCTCCTCGCCGACCCCTCCCTCCCGGGACCTGCATCCCGCTCCGCCAATCAGCGCCCGATTGCCTCTTCCCACGTGATCTCGGGCGGGCTAAGGACCTGCTGCTTCCCAAACGCCAGAGGGATGCGGGCGGCAGAGCGCGAGAGGCGGCTGCTGGGCTGTGGGGCGCTTTGACTCTCCTTCCACCCAGCCTCCTTGGACTCCTCTCCTCTGCCCTCTGGACTCCGGTCTCCTCGTGACCCCCTGGCTGCCCAGAGCCCCCTCCTATGGCAGCAGCCCCCCGAGTCTCCGGCGCGGCTTCTCAGCGGACGACCCTCTCGCTCCCGGGGCTGGGCCGGGTCGCTGGATGTTTCTGAAACTCTGGAGACCATGCGCGGGTTTGGCCGCTGCTTCCCCGTCGGGTGCCACTGCCACCGCCGCCGCCCGTGCTGCCGCCGTCCGCGGGATGCTCAGTAGCCCGCTGCCCGGCCCCCGCGATCGCGTGTTCTTCGGAAGCCGTTTGCTACTGCAGAGTTGCGCGAACTAGTCATGGTGCTGTGGGAGTCCCCGCGGCAGTGCAGCAGCTGGACACTTTGCGAGGGCTTTTGCTGGCTGCTGCTGCTGCCGGTGATGCTACTCATCGTAGCCCGCCCGGTGAAGCTCGCGGCTTTCCCTACCTCCTTAAGTGACTGCCAAACGCCCACCGGCTGGAACTGCTCCGGTAAGTCCAGAACCGCAGCCGCCGACCCCTTTAGTCCCGCGGGGGAAACGTGTTTCCAGCACAGACCAGCCTACCTTAGTGCGTCTCCTCGGCCCCTCGCTTCCTACTGCCCCAGACCTCTGAGACTATCGACCTCCACCCAGAGGAGCACAGGGAACCATTCCAGGCCGCTAAGGAAGCTGGGGGCCGAGGGGGTCTGGGGTGGGCAGAAAGTGCAGGTGTAGGGACCTTCGCATCCTTGCGCTTAGAACTGCGGGTATGTTAAGAAATACTAAACGGGATGGTTTTGTGGATCCATCGCAAAGAGCACCAGTCCTTGGGGGAAAGACTAAAACGGAACCTTTCGCATCATTAAAGAAAAAAGTCTGGCTAAAACGAGCGAGAAATAACTTTATGAGAAAGAACAAGCGAGAAAGCAATAAATCAAATAATGACTGTAGAGGAACACTGATTCCTGGCAAAAGTGCCATGAGGTGCCCCGGTCTCGCTTTCAAGACCAGGTCACACGGATTCCGAAGGAGCTTAGGTTTCAAGAGATTCATTCTCTCTCTCCCTCCCTCCCTCATTCCTCCCTCTCTCCCTCCCTCCCTCTCTTCCTCTCTCTCACATCCTCCTAGTCTACTTGGCTGCAAAAGACGTTGTTTTTGCAGCCCAGAGATGCTTCTCTCTTGCCCCCCTAAGCTCCTTGATGGTGAAGGGAAGTTGAGAAAAGATTCATTCGTCGGTCTCCCAGGCCTGGGTGGGCATAACTGAGCCAGGCAGGCTTATGCGCAGGCGGGCGGAACCGACCCTGGTGGACGCTGACTCCATTTCTGGGCAGGCTTCCCTGGAATGGGTCAGGCGCTCTTCTTGCTCGCTGGGTCCCTTCAGAGTCTGAAAGCGAGAGCTTGGCAGACGTTGCTCTGCTGAAGCCTCCTAATTAAATAGGGCCCGAGGACGGGAGTTGCTGTACTCCGAGCTGGCTTCGCATTTCAGTATGACAGCCCATAGTATACCCTGGCGGGATTCTGGTGTGATTTCATTGGCATTTTAAATTGCATTAACATGCCTGGGTATTGTCCCCTAGGTCTGGTTTGTTCTAGTTTTAGCAAGTGTGCATGTAATTTTTCATCTTCTGTAAATATAATTCTGCTGTAGTTAAATCTGGCTCTGAATAAAGTGGCTTCCAGGGATGTATGTAAGCTGAAGTGTATGTAACTTTGGAGAGGTGGGAATGACCAACTGTAACTCATAGGATGAAAGAATATGTAGTTCTAGGTTGTTACTGATGTAAATTGCATGAGGAAAATTATTATGCATCATTGTAGCTTGTGCTTTTTAAAGACAGGTTGAGATTTGCAACCCTATTAGATTTGGGTCAATAGATTGCCTTTGTTCTGTTTTTGGCAGTTTCTAAATTTGGTATTTTTATAAAATTTAACATGTTTACTTTAACTTATTCGTGGTTCATGGGTGCATATATGTTATTTTTGAAAAGCTAAGTTCCACTTTGCAGGTGTCTAATTACTTTTTAGGTGCCTTATCATAGATATATTAAACAACCTGCAAAAATCACTTGTTTGAAATGGTCACAGCTTTGTAGTCCAACATGACTGGTTTGCTTCATCCCAAGTATAGTATTGTTTTAGGAAATAACTAACTTAAATTTGAAATTGAGGTTGGCAATTAAGAAATTTATTATTAGCCAGGTATCTTAAGGAGGTCTGCAGAAACTAAGAAGAATAAACTTGTTTTCCAAGCAGATTTTCAAGAACTTGGCACACCCCTCCACCCCTGTTAACTTAGAGGTGATCAATCTTCATTTGAGCCAGACAGACCATCACAGAAAACGCTGTGCCTGTTTATCTTTATTATTGGGGCTTTGTTTCTTCTTTGTCTGGAGACATTCCAAATAAGGGGTTGTTCCAGATCTTAAAGCAAAAGAATGATTAAGAATGGAGAAATGGTAAAATGACACTCAGAGACCATCACCAGCTCTTTTCTAAAATGTGGAGTTTGGGGGTCATAAACTATAGTCTACTTAATAAGAAAAAATTAAGGAAGCTAGGAAGCAAGTGTTAAACCTTCATTCACTGCTGCCAGTATTAACCTTGGTTAAAATAAAATAGCAATATCAAAAAAGAATATTAAAAGAGAATTGACTAGAAAGGAATTGTGAAAAAAAGAAATGAATATTGATCACTTAACTAGATTTTGGAGGTGATCAGTAGAGAATGACCTTGCAGTACAGCTGTGGTTATTGGAATTAAAATTTAGAGCAATTCTTTTAAAGCTTCAAGATAGTGCTTTTTTTTTTTTTTTTTTTTTTGCTAAAGTCTATAACATTTTTTAATGACTGGAGTATTCTCTTTAAATTTGAGGTTATGATGACAGAGAAAATGATCTCTTCCTCTGTGACACCAACACCTGTAAATTTGATGGGGAATGTTTAAGAATTGGAGACACTGTGACTTGCGTCTGTCAGTTCAAGGTAAGAAGTCTGATTTTTGTATCTTCTTATTCATTAATGAGACTACAAAGGAGGGATCTCCTTTGGCAATTTATAGCTATGCAAGCTAAGAGGAAATCTCGCACCACGCAAAAGCGCTGTACTACCAGGAGAGCCAACGGATGTCAAAAAGGCATAGCTTTTTGGGGAAATGTGTATGCCAGAGTTATAAATGCCACTGGAGGTAGAAAGCTTCAGGTTGTTCTGTTGGTGTGTCTGAGGTAAATTATGTTTATGTGTCCCATCTAGCATGCATTTTATAAATCAACTGCTGGGGTTAATAGCCAAAATAATCAATGGATAGGAAGTATGGATTCGAACTTTTGTTCTTTTTTATTGGGGCTATCATTTTTTGATCATATTGCTCTGTTTTAATGGCTTTGGGTTTTACTCTCCGGGCAAAATGGTTATGTATTTAAATAAACTCCTTATTAACGGGACTTCAAAACTACTGTGCTAGTTTTTGAAATCATGGAACTTATTAATATATATATCAACTTTTCATGGGTACCACATTCAATTACAGCTGAATCTCCCAGGAATCCAAGAGAGCGCAAATAACTGCAACTTATTTCATAAATGTTAGAAAAATGTACTTTACCACATGTTTGAAAAATAAATAAAAATTAATTTTTTTTAAAGAAAGGGACATCATCAAAACTAGGTTATGAGTATCTCTTGAAGATAGAACTCTTCATGTCATTATTATAGTCATCATCTAACAAATGCTTTATACCGTGTAAATTATAAACCTTCTTTTCTCTCAAAATGTTTATACAAGCATACATACCTTCAACTATCATAGGTGTTGTACTAATGTCTTATATTCACCTTTAAGTGTTGCTGGATTTTTCAAATACACATGAAATCTAACACAGGGTTCAACCAGGAAATATGTGCATAAACAACTATATTAGTGGGATCAAGGAAAACTTTTCTAAGATTGTAAGCAAAACTAAAAAAAGAAAAAAGAAAGAAAGAAAAAGAAAAAAGGTACAGAACAAATGAAAACATAAACTCAAATTCAGGTCTAAACAATTGTTATAGTATGTAGTATTTAGAATTGTTGATGAAACTGAATATTTTAAATTGAATTCAACCTCCCAGTGAGAGAGATAAGGGAATTCATATTTAAATATAGTTTGAATTGTTTGTAGATAAGCTCAAAGTTGCTTGGACATTATTCTTTCTAAGAAAAGCAATAAAACGACTGCAAAGTGCACCACCTGCTGGTGGGTGAGTATTGGTGTGACCATGCTACACTCCTTCAGACCATACTATAGTGTTAAAAAACATATTTGTGCCTACTTAATATGCATGTGACACCAACCTTTAAGGTCTCCAGCCACACTGAACAATGTAATTATGTTCTTTCAATGAACTACATGGGAGAGATGGAGCATGAAAACTCTCCAATTCATACTTTCCCCAAATGTTAACTAAAGAGAAAATACAGGGGGATAAATCGTTAATTAAAGGCCCAAAGCATCTTGTGGATTTTCCCCCCTTTCAGTTTGTGATTCCCATAAATTTGTCTTGCTTTCATAACCAAGGGTAGACATAAGAAGTGAATTCATAAACAGTACAAAATGAACCAAAAAGAATGTTCCTCAAATGGAAAGCCATAATTCTAACAAGATTTCAACAAGAGAAAAATAATGGAGTTCACAAAATCTAAATCGATGCATGCTACTAAAAGGGATGTATGGTTTTCTTATTTAAGAAATTGTGTTCAGTTTTCAGGTTCCACAAAGGATTTTGGTAAAACTTTTATCAACAAAAATATTTGTGTTTTTCGTGCTTTGGCCAGCCAGTTACATTTGTCACTAATTTAAATACTTTTTGAGTGGAATAGGTCAGGGAGTGGGCAATGAATGCAAGTTTGAATAAGGAACTAAAATGTATTTTTTTTTCCTAATACCTGTAGCATTTAAATTTGCTGCGAGATTACTACTGCCATTAGCTTGTGCTTTGTAATAGTTGTCAGACGTCTGTCAAGAGAAAATAAACATTTCCTTCATGGAAAATTTAAACTCTACACATAGCAAGAATATAGAGTGGCTGGATTAAGTTGAAGATCAAAGAAAATGTGCAAGTTGTGCAAAGAATAATAAGATATTTTAGACTAAAACTATCTTGATTCAGTCCTTTCCAATACATTACAATGAATTTGAGGGTTCCCCCCCCCTCAGTTTCTGATGAAAAGGGAGATGTCCTGATAATCTATTTTCCTACATACTATTCTAAACTAGCTGAGGTCGTCTACTCTCTGTTTCTCCTGTTTTTACAGATACAATCACAAATTCTTTCATTCAAATTAGGATGCAAACTATGGTCATTCTAGCTGAGAGATAAATTTCAAAGAAAAGTGTGTGTATGTGATCTATAGTTTTCCAACTTGGAACACTAAAATAAACATGTATTTGCCTTCACTTCTCTTAGATGATTGAAAATAAACATATTCTCCTCTTTATTAATTACAGCCAAGTGAGGTAATTATTTTCTCCTCCTTTTACAGATGAGGAAATTAAGGCCCAGAAATATAAATAACAATCATTAAGTGGTGATCTTAAAGTAAGAACCTAGGTCCTTTGAAACCAAGTCTAATTTTCTCCCAAAACATTATTCATGCAAATGAAAATATCAGTAACAGCAACAACAATACCAAGTTATTGTAGACAATTCAATATCAAAGGTAGTACAACTGATTTTTGGATGATGATGTGAGTTCCAGAAATGGCAGAACCTGGTTCCTATCTATCAGATGGCATTCTGGTCAATCCGATAAATCAGTTGTGGAGAGAAAAATTTAGAGACAATTAGATGGAGGGGTGGATGGATGGATGGATGGATGAATGAAAGAAAGAAGGAAGGAAGGAAGGAGCGTGCATATGTAGTTATTGATAGATAGCATTGGTCATACAATGACCAAATATCAGTTGGTAATTTAAAAATATGATGAAGCCTTCTGTTTTTTAGATATTATTTATTTCAAATACTCAGTATTTGCATTTAATAAGCATGCTTTAGATGTACAATTGTTCCACTTACTAGGACTGCATAATAAATTGCCCAGAACTTAGTGGCTCAAAAATAATGAACATTTCCTTTGCTAATGAATCTACAATTGGACAGGGCTTAATGGAAACATCTCATCTCTCCTTCCCTTGGCATTAACTGAGGGAGGGAGAGAACTCAAAGGCTTGGTCCTGTACTCTTCTCAGGGCTCCCACTCATATGTCAGCTGGACACCTTGGTCCTTAATGTGGATCTCTCCATATGTGCTACTTTGAGCTTCCTCATACCACAATGGCTGGGTGTCAAGGGCAAGCATCCAGAAAGAGAGAAAGAGCCAAATAGAAGCTGTATCCTTTAATGACCTAGCCTGAGAAGTCACACAGAGTCACTTTCACCATAGCCACAGGCTTGCCTACTCTTAAAGTCATATTTTCTTTCATTTAAAGAAATGTGGTTACAGAGAAGAAAAAGTTACTTATGGAATGATCAAAGGATTGGGACATGTGCAGGTTTTTTATCTTTTTCTTTTTTGGAAGAGAAACATAACCATATCCTAAGCCATTATTCTTAAGCCTTTGACAACTGGGAATATAACAAGAATTCACTTAACATCTGTGGAGTACCTTCTACATGCCAGACTGTATGGAAGGTGCCGACAATCTATAAAAAAGAAGTTATACATGGCTTCTAGATGCTGAAATCTCAGCTGAAAGAAATCTTTATTAACCAAACAAGCAATAAATCATATGGAAAAACTTCTCACATACATTTTTTGTTCGTTTGTAGTAAAATGAATTCCATATAATCTAGAGTGTCAAGTCATTGAATCCATGAGTGTGATATGTAGCTACTTTCTTAAGCAATGTGGACACTTTGGAGCAAAATCATTCCACTGAAAAACACATATTTGGAAAATAAACTTCGGATTTTTATAACATCTTAAGAAAATATAATCACTTTTCCCCTGAGAGGAAGTTTGTACAACACATACATTTATGGGTCTAACCATCTGGGCCTGAGTCTTGTTTTTTCTCTTACCAGCCAACTAGGTGGCCTTTAGCAAGTCACTTAACATCTGAATCTGTCCCTTCGTCTGAAACTGAGCAGTATCATGATTACCACTAAAAACTATTTCCAATAATTTGGCGTATTTTAACATAGTACTTAGCTTATTTTTATGAGCAGGGTTACTCTGTTTTCCTTTATTTCTCTAATTTAAATATGTGCATTTGGTGTCAGTGTTAGACGGTGCATCAACTATATTAAAAAATGCTTATCATGAGACAAATAATTTACTTTTCTTTTTATAGATGAATATTCCAAAGTATTTTAAAAACATGACTCTGTTAATCCTCCCAAATACCCTTGTTAACCATTTCAGTTGGGGAAATTGAGCTATAAACTTGTTAAATATTTAATAGTTGAGTGATGTACACAAGAGCAATGAGAGAAATCGGTGAAACTAGGACCAGACTCCTGTTCCTGAGCCATAATGATTTAAAGTATGCTTCCTCCTCATATTATTCATACTAATGAGTGCAAGTCATGGTGCTAAAGGCCAAAAACATCGTGCTGATAATCTACAGTTAAGCTCTTTTCAGCTCCATACAAATCTCCCTTTTGGCTTGTGCATGGAACTTGGCAGCTCTGTTTTTCGCACTGTTCACATTTGGCTTACTGCATCCCTCAGAAGTGGCATATGAGTGCTTTATCAGTTTATTCCATATTTTAAGATGCATATCAGCATTGTGTACTAGCACTTGACAGAGATAATAAATACTTCCCACCCTTCACCCCCGTCCACTGACTACATCTGAGTATTCTGCAGAAGTAGATAAGAAAGATAAATAGAGAGGTTCCAGGGATTGGAGAGAAGAAAATGTGGACCCAAATAATCTACAAACTGTTATAGGCAGGTTTGAAGATGGAGATTAAAAGGTAGCCAAAGACAACAATGCTAGGACCCGAACATGAGAAGCTAACTAGTCCAGCCATCACACTAATTTTGACTCTCTTCTGCCTACTAAAAGTGTCAGCAAGTCTACTGAATATGACTATTATATGTTACCAGTTGTTCATTTCTTTCTGATCTCTCCTCCATTAGCTCAGATACCATTTTAGTGTTAGTGGGTCCTCATAAATCCTCCCTGGTCCAGAACACAGCACATTTATCAAGCACCTGTCCATCCACCTGCCTCTCAGGCTATGGTTCTGACATAAGCACCAGCCCCATTTAGTTGGTGTTACCTCTGTGCTGTTCACTGGAGAATTCGACTCCTCACTGACATTCTGCCATTGCCTTTTTTTCTTCAGTAGTGATAATGATTTGGGGTCCTATGGTAGGTCAATTCTCAGATGTAAGTTAAAAAATACATATCTCTTCAGAAATCTTGTGGAAGGCAGCCTTTATACAGGTATCACCTGATCAGAAATGAATGCCTGTTGAGTTAAAGATCCTCATTAGTAAAAGGTTCTAATCCAAACAGTTTTAAAATATAGTCACATAGATAGACTGAGTCTGGGAGCCAGTTGTGTAACTGTGAAAACGAAATACTGCATAGAGGGCTTCCAGAATAACTAGATTAGAAATTGTAGAAATAAAGAAGATTTCTAAAATATGTCATATTTAAAATATTTAAATCATTTTAATCACATGTAAGTAATTTCTAAATAGATATGATTTAACATCTAAATCATTGTCTTAGCAATTATAGAGATCATAATATGCGTATTGCAAGAAAAGTATATCACCGTTACTAAGCTATATTTCATTTTTTCAATAACAGATACAAAGACTCATAAAATGAGACTTTCATTTCAGAGAACATTGACTTATCCCATTTCATGTATAAATAACTAGGATGATTAAGCCATTGTTACATTAAGGCAAAGATCAAGAGTTAAATGGTTGATGGAAAAGGAGGAAGTACAGATATTCTAAGGAAATAGAGTAAAAAAAATAAATTTCAGGTTTTTATTATAAGATTGTAACCTTATTGGAAATTTGTTCCTTTTTTGGCATATATCTTTGAGTTGAATTTAACTTACGATAGAGTTTTAGGTTTATTATCATATATATTAAAACTTTCCTAGCCATCTCACTAGATCGTTCATTTATTTTGTATGTGTTATAAATTTACAGCCATCAAAAATCCAAATATTTTGATAAGAACTGGAAAACAGAAAAGTGTTTTCACATGCATGTGTATGTATGACTTGCTTTACTTAATTTCTGGCATAGGTGGATACTTTTAAATAATCATCTTGGTTATTACATTTGTTACAATTAAACAATGAAACACATCAGTAGTAGTAATCATGAGATAATCACATCTCTAGTGTAATTAGCAGGTATAGGACACAGCCAAGTATCTCTAATGCCTTAGAGTGTGATTATATTATGATGAGTATACCTTGTAGGTTGCCTAATTTCCATTGTAAAATGTGTACTTTTATGTAATGAGGCTGTTTTAAAATGAACTTTTCTCTTTATGAAATATATATTAGTAGTCATACTTTCCAATAATCAATAAAGTTTACATATAGTTCAATAGTTGTTGATTTTTCCCCCTGTATTCCATATTCTGTTGTTTTCTCTTGCACTATATCTGCCAATATCTAAAGATATATGACAAATTAATTAGTAATCCAAATGTCTTATCCAAATATTTAGAAATTTGTAAAGATTAAAATTAAACAGAAAGAGAAACATACTAAGGAGTAACTGATTTCATTGGCATTTCAACTGCATACTTCTATTCTAAACACAGATAGGCATTACCTATTTTTAATAACTTGAATATTATAGCATGTTTTGATTTTTTCCACCAAGCCAGATAGGTGTATATCTGAAAAACAGTATTAAATAATGTTGATACATTTTGTTGCTGTATCTTTTCAGTATTGTTGCCCAGATCACTTTGTTGGAATTACCCTGATCAATTTAGAAGCTTTTTCTTTTTACCCCATCTGAATCAGATGACTGATTAGCTGACTTGACATTACTTTTGTGTATCTTTGAATGATGCTCTTGCAAGGTCAAAGACTTTCATGGATACAATGGAGATTGCTGAAAATGAAAACAACCGCTTTCTTTTGTAAATGATTATTTCTGTTCGAGGTGTCAAAGGTATGCAGGCTCCAGTACTAACCATAAGCTTCTATCTCTGTGCCCGCCCCCCCTCCCCCCAGTGCAACAGTGACTACGTGCCTGTGTGTGGCTCCAATGGGGAGAGCTACCAGAATGAGTGCTACCTGCGGCAGGCTGCCTGCAAACAGCAGAGCGAGATACTTGTAGTGTCTGAAGGATCATGTGCCACAGGTATGTGTGTGATCCTAAAGACTCCCTGAAACCTTTGGAAACCATGTCTTGCTTTTTCTGTTATGTTATCGCCAAATAAATAATTCAGACTATATACTGCCTGGATAAGCCTCTCATTCTTTTGTACAAAGCATACATTATTCTTATTTTGTCTTTTTTACATTTCAAATCACTTCTGGAAGAAAGAGAAAATCTGCCATAAGGATGTTGATTTTAATACATATGTTATTTAATGAAGTGCAGACAGTTGAATAATATAATTAGAAATCTAGGTTTCCTGCCTAGGTGTCAAATATAGAGAAACCTATCCACGCACACGTAAAGTTGGTTTGTTTGTTTCGAACAATAGCATCGTCTGCTGGAGGGTAGTTTGCAGATCTGGGTTTGAAAGTGAAAATGTGGGTAACCTCAGCAGTGCTATAAAATGTTCTTATCATTTAGCTGATTATATTGAAGAATGTATTTGTGAAGGCCATCTATCCTTTTTAACACAGTCAGCCTGGGATTCCACAAAGCTTTTTAGTTGTCTTTACCAAGAATGCTCTGAAGGAAGTGAGGAGGAAGAGTGACCTCATATGCTCTTCAGTTTTTCAGGTTTTCCTTTCGTGTACAGTAACTGTTAGAGCTGAACAGCATTACAGGAAGAAAAATAAACAAAGGAAACAAAGCCCAACTTGATAGAGCAATGCCTTAAAATAAAGCTGAGTTTACAGGTTAGGCTTGACATATTAGAATCACATATATTAAAGAAACTTTAGTATCCATGATAGTTGTCTTGAATGACACATAAGCATCTTTCTAGAAAGTCATAATTTCTGAGGAATTGGATGGCATAAGCATATCAGGGAAAAATAATAATGACACAAAGTATGAACTTTCTTCAAAAGTGAGAATATAGAAGAGTGCCAGGAAAAATCTAATTTATTGGAAAGGTAACAAGTATTTCTTTGATAACAAGTATTTCTATTCTGGGGAACTATGTTAAAAGTCGTATGTAGGTTGGGGCAGGATGGTAAATGACCAAGAAGAAAGGCTTGTATTCTTTAAAAGATTATCTTAAGTCTATTGATTGTTAGTAATTGATAGTGTTCCAAATTATATCATTGACTACTAAAGTTCCTAAGAATTAGAAGAGAATGATATTATTACTCACAGATGATGATGTAGGCTTTTTTGTGTTGATTTTGTTTTTTTTTTTTTAAGATTTTATTTATTTGCGAGAGAGAGAATGAGAGACAGAGAACATGAGAGGGAGGAGGGTCAGAGGGAGAAGCAGACTCCCTGCTGAGCAGGGAGCCCGATGTGGGACTCGATCCCGGGACTCCAGGATCATGACCTGAGCCGAAGGCAGTCGCTTAACCAACTGAGCCACCCAGGCACCCTGATTTTGGTTTTTAAGTAGTCTTTTCTTTTATATGATTCTTTGCCTCATGAAGTGAATGTCCTTTCTGGTGCCCCACTTGCTTCTTACTTGCTAAAGCAAACAGATCATTGCCACTCCTTCTGTCTGAGAAGTAATGAATGAAAATGACAGCAGCAGGTGAGAGTCATTGGACTTGCTTCCCTAGTAGGGAGGGAGGAGGACCAGCGTTCTACTCTCATAGTAAAGATGGGGAAACAGAAAGAAAAACAAGGAGCAAACTAATTATGAAAAATCAATCTGCCATATCTATGGAGAAACTTTAAAGTGATATTTTAAGACAAATTGCATAGGAAAAAATAATATGGAAACTCTGACTCTTAGAAACCAAGAATGATAGAGGCAACACCAGTGAGTACTGAGGAAAGGGTTTATCTACTCTAGATCATATAGGATACCAATCTGTCTCTGACAGTAGCCAAATGAGAATCAGTTGTCAAAATAGAGTCAGGAAGTTATGGTGTGGCTAACAACATTTGGCACCAAAATCTCTCTCTCTTACTTGCTAACCTCCAAGATTGCCCATAGGCTTAGGCAATCACATTCTCCTGATTCATTCAAGTTTTTACATGCTAGACTCTAACGTATTGTTTATACTATGAAAATAAATACTTAGCCAAGTAGAACATTTAATCACAATTGAGTAATCCATACCTAGCTGAGTCACATACTTAGAATTCTGTAGGATTTAATTAGTAAGCCAATCTTGCTGAATGTGTCTCCCATTGACTTGTAAATCTAAAAGATTTTTGATCTGAATAATGATGGAGGAACCAAAGTAATTTTGATTAACCAGGTCTGACTGTAAATAAATTAGAGTTCTGACTTTTGATCTAAAATAAATTCTCATCCTTTTCTTTGCAGATTTTCCATTTATTTTTTAATGCTATTTGACACTGAATAGAGATGGCAAATTGTGATCTCTAGGAATAAAAGGCAGTAGAAGATATAACTTTATTATACTTCATTGAACTTACAAATCTTTTTTTTTTTTTGGTCCAAAAATTGTTTCTTACTGGACAGTCTGCTCAATAGCCTCACTGTCAATTTCGCTTTTTTGTGTTATAAGAAATGCATTGACTAGGAGTTCAGACTTTCAGGATCAAGAGCATGACTTCTTAGGTGTTTCTGTCTCACCAGTAAGACCTCAGTAAGCTGCTTATTTATCTTATACTAGAGAAACCATTAAAGCTTCCCATCACTATTTCATAATGATTCTGTGGACTTGTGATTATTTTTTCCACCTATTCCTTCTTTGTTTCCTACTTACCTGATTTGGGTCAAATCAAACAAAAGTTGTCTTAAGAACCATGCCCCTTGACTTTTTAGAAAGATACATGAGAAATACAAGCCAATATACTACTGCCATTTTTTTTTTTTTGCTTTTTCCAAACCCTATGTATTTATTAGAAAACCTGTAGATGAATAGGCAAGATGTTTACTCAAAATCTTAATTTTTATGTTCCAGACACAGTGATAATCATTTACAATTTGCTTTTGTGCAGTAAGTCTCAAAATCTATCAATGAGATAGACATTATTATACTCATTGAATAGAGGACAAATAAGCTTAGGAAGATTAGATAACATTCCTTATGTTATCAAATGAGTAATGTTTGAAGGTTTGAATCTATAACTTTTAGGTATTTCCTCTTATGTGCATATAAGTATATAAAGCTGAACAAGACATGGTTCTTGATTTAAAGAAATTTACAGTTGTAATGAGGAAGAAAAGAGAAACTCTACACATTCAACCAAAACACGTAAAATATATTAGTGCTATAATAGTACAACCTGTTAGCCTCTGATGATTATAAGTAATACTGAATTAAACTTTCAAATTAGTTGAAAGAAATTTAGTTAAAATTTTACTGTGGAAGTGTACAAACATTGACCATTCAAGCATTGTCCCATCCAAAAGTGACGGTGCCATGAGTTATGATTAGCAGTTCAGTTGACAAGACGATTCTATTACGGTGACAAATGCTTCAGCCTTTCTTGATCTGTTATCATTAAATAGTCAAGGCGTATGCTTAAAATCCTTATTTGATTATATATTTACTAAGAAGTGTTTTTATTATAAATTGTTTTACCAATTAGCTTGCTTTAAAGAAAAAATCTGTTGGCCTAAAGACACATGTTTTAGTCACATTAGCAGTTAATAAATAACTTGGCTTTCTGATTTAATACAGTGTTAGACCCTGTGAATTTAGTTAATAGGAGTCTCCACCAAGGCTCATTATTTAAACTACTGCTCCTTCATGACACTGCTAATGCCTAACATGATGACAAGCATAGCTGTTGAAGGAGGCATCTATTCTTCCATATGTCAGCCTTCTGTGGATTTTCATATACCATATCATTTTTTACACCATGCCTCTCATAAACTGTCATGGAGCCAAACAAGTAGAAATAATGGAGGCTTGGGTTTTTGCTTTGTTTTATTTCTTAAATTGTACTAAAGCATCAAACACAAATTCATAGAAATGGCATTCAGTATAGTTCTTGAATCCTGGTTGAGATTTCAGTGTGAGATGAAACATTTCAGACAGAAAATACCAATATTAGTCTTATTCCCCAGTATTAACATTAAAAATACATAACCAAATGTATTTAGAATGAATAGAAGTAGGGAGGCAGAAGGCAGATGATGTTTACACTTCACAGGTAGAACCAGATGGAAACTCAATGGTCTTGACTCCCAATGAGAAAACTGGGTGTCTCTGGGAACTCAGTTGTCAGAAATAGACAACTTTGACCAACTGCAATTCTGTAGGAAGGAGGGGAGAGAAGAAATAAAGAGAAATGCAGAAGGAGGGTATCCTTTTTCTCTGCCAGCATCATTTAGGGTGTATCCAATTTTAAACACAAAGACAAAAGTTAATCTCTCTCTTCTATTGATTTCAAAAACAAAGAACTGGAGGGTATTATGCTGAGCGAAATAAGTCAATCAGAGAAAGACGTGTATCATATGACCTCACTGATATGAGGAATTCTTTTTTTTTTTTCCACTATATGTTTTTATTTTTTTATTTATTTTCTTTTAATCTTGGGCTCCTGAA